CCCCAGTTCCACGCAAGCCTCTGGAGCTCATGCGCATACAGTCTGGGGTCCCCACTCGGCCGTCCGGCCACAGAAGCCGGTTCTGTGGAGGCAGAACGCGCCGCGCGCAGGCAGCGCCAGCCTGTGGCAAAGGATGGCGCCGTGGACACGAGTCTGATCCGGTTCAGGCGGCGAACACGCCCGAAAGAGGCAGGCACAGTCCATGTGTAAGAAAGACACCAGAGCCTCTTGGCAACTGGAGCAAACGAAGAAAACCACTGAGGGATGAGCTTGCAGGCAGTGCTTAGAAACCCGTCATCGTCGTCCACAGGTGTTCGGTTTCCCGGGCCTCAGCGTCACTCAGGCGTTAGGGGGCGGGGCATGAAGGCCCCATCCAATCAGGGGCTGCTAAAACCGGGCCCGGAACCCGCCCATGCCGACGCACCGCGGAAGAGGAGGCGACCTTTAACCTGTCTCCACTCCTGGTGGTCGCACCCGCCAGGGCTTGGGTCCGCCTCGGCTGCTCGAGAGCCTCAGGTGCCTTCCGCCAGTTCTGTCGCGCCGTCGCGCCCTGTGGCGTGCACTGGGTCGCAAGAAGCCGTAGAGCGACGCTGGACGCCTGAGCCGGAAATGGAGCGTGCGGGCGGGTAAGGGAGCAGGCTGCTTGGATCCCGACGTTTCGCTGCAGTCGCGGGACCTGGGCCTCCCCGCTGGTCCGCTCCGTAGTCTGCGGAACTCGAGTCGCCCCCCGTCGGCCTGGGCCCTTCCCCACCAGGGTTGGGGCTGGGCAGCGCCTTGCATCCCCCTATCCCGCCCCTCCGCGGCGACTTCACCCCGAGCCGGCACTCCCTGGCAGCCCCGCGAGTCCAGCTGTGCCGGTGACGGCTGTGGAGGGTCGTGGGGCCGGGTCCCGACTCGGAGTGTGGGTCGTGCGTGGAGGGCTTGCCGCCTGTGGATGCCCAGTCACTTCTTCGTTCTTAAAAACTAAATAAGCCTCGTGGCTTGTTAACGGAAAAACCCAAAACTCTCAAAAATGAATGTAATTTATTTGAGCAGAAAATAAGGCAGAAACCTAAGAACCCTGAATAAGGGTGGTGGCTAACAGGTTGGTTTCATACGTTTCAGCGAGTCGAAAGTGCAGGGTAAAATCCATAAATCAGTACGTGCACGTATACATTGGTTTCAGATTAAAGCTGGACATCTGAGAGGGATTTACAAGCTGTAGGGTTGAGGAATTTTTAGTTGGCAATTGGTTGAGGTATTAAGCTTTATCTGAAAATTTGAACCCAAGGATTGATGGCTTAAGATAGGGAGGTCTGTTCTCTTTCCAGTGATATGCCCAGCATTGAAAAAAAGGAAGCAGTTTAACTAGGTCTTATGGCTTCTAAATGCATGACATTACCACTGCCTTGCATGGCTTAGTCTTTGTTTATAAATTGATTTCTTATTGCCACAGGGAATCTTTGTTTTGTCAATCTGTGATCTTCTGTTTTAACATTAATGTGGTCTGTCCTATCTAAGCTTCAAAAAGGAGGATGTATAACAAGACATTGTCTGACCACATTCCCAACAAGCAGGAACTCACATGTTTAAGGGTTTCCTGGGGTTCCCCTAGGAAAGAGGTGTCGTTCACTCAGTTGGGTGTTAGGATTTTTTTTCATTTACAGGTTAAAGCAGGGTCTCAAACTTTTTAAACAGGCCAGTTCACTGTCCCTCAGACCTTTGAGGGGCTGTTGGAGAAGCGCAGCAACATTCCACCCATGCGCACTGGGGCCTGGGGACCAGTTGGCGCTAAGCAGGACAGGCAGCGGTGGCAAAAACACCTGGTGGTGGATAATGTCCTGGAAGGCACATGTGCTGTGGCTGGTTAGTTTGAGGACCCCTGGTTAAAGAAGGCTTTATAAGGCTCATAAGGACAATGCAGATTAAATGATTGATTGATTACAGTTTAGGCAGTTGTCTTGTTTGGACTTGTCAACCTGAAGTAGTGAAAGGCAAAATCCAGTTTTAAGACTTTATTCAAATAAAGGCTGGAATGGCCATTTGGGAAACACAGACTCCAGAAAATGAACTCATTCCTCCAAGTTTAAAATGAAATTCTTTCTCATATAGTCACAAACAGACATAACATTTTGTATACAAGCCTGGTTTATGGGTACAAGGATTTAGTTTAGTTATAGTTTGTGGGTTTTTTCCCCCCTGTAGAATTAAGTTTTCTGGCTGCTCAAATTTCCTTGGGCACTGCCTTGGAGTGTGCACAGTCAGGTGGGTCCCAAGCTTGGAAATGCGCCTGACATATGGGACTGTGGGATCACTTGTGAACTGGGATTATGGGGCTGCCTTCCCTGAGCCATTCTTTTGTGGAATCTCACTGCCTTATATTTGGTCTTTAACCAAACCATTTAGGAATTGTTTTCCGTATTTGTGTGTAAGAATTTGTATTTACTTTTTGAAGCAAGTTGGATTGTGTGATAATCTGAAGAAGCAAATAGAGTTCTTGAAATCAATTGTGTGATTCTAAGTTGGAAATAATAAGAATATAAATACCAAGGCACACCACCTAGGAAATCAATAGTCTAGAGCAGTTCCGTTGTATCTCCCTGTCTCACTGTGTTTAGGAACCCACAGGTGACCAAATTTGGATTTGTTTTGTTATTCTTTTAGCTTTAATCTCTTTTTTTTTTTTTTGAACAGAGTCTCAACTTTGTGCCCAAGCTAGAGTGAGTGCCGTGGCATCAGCGTAGCTCACAGCAACCTCAAACTCCTGGCAAGCAATCCTCCTGCCTTCAGCCTCCGAGGGTAGCTGGGGACTACAGGCATGTGCCACCATGCCTGCTAACTTTTTTCTATATATATTGTTGGCAATTAATTTCTTTTATTTTTAGTAGAGACAGAAGTCCCTTGCTCTTGCTCAGGCTGGTTTTGAAACTCCTGACCTTGAGCAATCACCTGTCTCGCCTCCCAGAGTGCTAGGGGTTACAGGCATGAGCCACCGTGCCCGGCCGCTTTAGTCATCCTTTATCAAGATGCAGAGTTTTACCTCTTTTCAAACTTTCAAGTAACTCTCAATATTGCCATTTATAGCCATTAATATTTGCTGATACAGTTTATTTCTGGTTTTCTGGCATACTGTTTGTTGCAAACTGCTGCAGTCTGAAGTCGTGGTCACCCAGTTTACTCACCTATTGCAGTGCTATGGAACTTGGGTTATTTCAGGTTATTTGATCTTGTTGACAATGACGTTCTTATTTCTGCCCCCAAGTAGAAATGACAAGAATGAACACACATGCATTAAAGGTGAGTGCTTAATTCATATTACACTTTATCAGCAATTCCTACTTTTTGAATTTTCTCTACAACATAGGCATGTTTGTCTTGGATGGGTAACAAATTTTTTTTTTTTCCTGTGCTTTGATATTGTTAATATGTCAAGAGAATAATTGTTCAAATTTTTCTCATTTTAATCAATTGTTTCTTTAGAACATATTTATTATTGTCAAGGTTGTAAAAAAACAGTGGATAAATTGCTAACTAAGGCCAGTGTGGTAGTCATGCCTTGTGAATCCTAGCACTCTGAAGCCAAGGCACGAGGATTGTGTGAGGTCAGAGTTCAGACCAGCATGAGCAAGAAAGAGACCCAGTCTCTACTAAAATAGACAATTAGCCAAGTGTCCTGGTGTAAGTCTTGTAGTCAGTAGCCTGTAGTCTAGCTACTTGGAGAGCTGAGGCGGAGGAGCACTGAGCCAGGAAGTTTGAGGTTGCAGTGAGCTATGATGATACACTGGCACCACCCAGGAAAGAGCAAGACTCTTGTCTCAAAAATAATAATAATAATTTTACCAACTTAATTTTTTAAGTGTATAGATTAGTGAGTAGGTTATCATACTCATTTTATTGTATGACTCATTTCAGAAATTTTTCATCTGTAATGATCACAAATTGGATACCAGTGAACACAACTCCATTCTCTTCCTCTCAGGCATGGCAGTACATTCTACTTCCTGATTTTTCAAGTTTAATTACTTTACCACCAATTTACGAAAATGATAATACTGCATTTTTTTTTATCACTGGCTTTTTTTATTGGTGTCCACTGAAGTTTTTTGCAGGTTGTAGCATGCCAGATGTTATTTGTAAGACCAGACAGATTTGTGGCATAGCCATATTTTATCATTCTTCCATCAATGGACATTTGGGTGACACGGTGTGGTAAATAAGATTTTGAAATAACTTTCTTGCAAGATATTCTGCTTTCAATGCTGAGAGTGAGGTAAATATACGAGAGTGGCATTGAAATACCAATAATTACATTAATTTTTGAGAACCCACCATATTGTTTACCACAGGGGGTTGAGCCATTTCTATCCTTGTTGAAGTGACATGATCCAGTTTCTTCACGACTTGCACCAAAATTGTTTAGTTGGGGTCGTTTGGCTATTTGCTATTTTTTTTTTATTGGTTTTAAAATTAGAGCTTTAAAATCAGTTCTTATTTTAATACCTTAGCACAGACAATGATTTGCCAGTACTTCTCCAATTTCATGTTGATAATGCCTATTCCACTCTGTTGATAATGTCTCTGAAGCAATCTTGCTCAGGCTGGTTTTGAACTCCTGACCTTGAGCAATCCGCCCGCCTCGGCCTCCCAAGAGCTAGGATTACAGGCGTGAGCCACAGCGCCCGGCCTCAAATCTGTTAATTTTGATTGGTCATATTTTGTTTTTTGTTAAGACTAGGGCCCTGGACATTTTACCTGTCAGCCTTGTCCCCATTGAGCCTTTGGAAATTCAAATAATATAATGGGGGTTTTTCTGCCCAGTACCCTATCCCACAAGAGTTTCTGCTCATAGGTTTCTCTTTCAGTAAGTTACAACTCTCTTAGTAGTTACAATGGTCAGATACTGTTCAAAATACCATCAAAGGTTAAACTTTCTGAATAAGCATCATCAAAGACGCAAAGTCTCAGGATTGCTAATGCTAACTTTTTTCTGTATGCTAACTAGTAGGGTTTTGTTATGACAGGTGCCACAGATCCACTGAACAAGGAGACATTAGCGGTGACACAAACAACACATCTTTCTCCCTGGATTAACCAACAAGACACATTTTTGTATTCTGCTGTTACATAGCCAAATAGTTGCATTTTAGCATCAGAATTGCTGTGTGGGAGGAAGTGAGTATGGATGGAGAGTCAAGAGTCTCATGACCAAGTCATGGAACAAATGTTTGGAGTCCACAGCATTATGTGAACTTCTTAGCAATAGAGTATAGGTCCCCAGGGCTGTGGGCCTCACCCATCCTCCTCTACACATGTGGGATGTTTCAGGACTCCGTGACCTTTGAGGATGTGGCTGTGAACTTCACCCTGGAGGAGTGGGCTTTGCTGGATCCTTTTCAGAGGAATCTGTATAGAGATGTGATGCAGGAAACATTGAGGAACCTGTCCTCTATAGGTAAGTGTGACAATATTCCCTCATTCAGTGATTTAGAGAACAAGACTTTCTTGCTCATAAGTGGTGTTCAGTGATTTGGAATGTGCACAGAGAATACTTTGGTGCATAGTCAGGCATGGCCACAGTGAACCATGAACGTAGAATCTAATATTTCTTTTGTATTTATAATAATTCAGGACTATATTTCTGGTGTGTATTTTAGGAAAAATGTGGAAAGACCAGAACATGGAAGATGAGTGTAAAAATCCCAGGATAAATCTAAGGTAATTTGTATTCAGGGGACAAATAAATATATCTCTGGAGAGAATTTTAAAATGTCTGGAAATTTTTTTTTAAAAACTATAAAAATTAATAATCCTAACATCATTTTAATGTATTCTTAGAAAAATTGCTCTGAAAACATATATTTAAATTTGATACAGATGTTTGATGTTTCTGAAATAGTTTACTTGGAGATAGTATTAAGAAATCCTACATAAATATTATTTTATTATAATTTGTATGGACTAGCCATTTTACAGAGCATGTGGTCGGTCTATTCATGTTGAAACAATTCATGAAGGACCAAAAACCTACTCTTTCCTTGGGAAAGTTAAAAATGCAAGTATAATGCTTATTAATAAATAAAATAATTTATAAACAAAGCCTTAATAATGCGCTTCTTATTTTCCACAGAAGTGTTGTTGGAGAGAGACTCTTTATAAGGAAAAAAGGTAGTCAGTGTGGAGAAATGTTGAATCGGGTTTCAGATCACATGCTGAAAAAGAAAACTCCTGGATTAAAACCATGTGAAAGCAGTGCAAGCAAAAAAGTCTCCATTGGACATTCAACTTTAAATAAAGCTATCAGAGCTGACACAGGACACAAACCATCTGAGTATGAGGAATATAGACAAAGACCATATACATATAAGCAATGTGAGAAAGCCTTCAGTTATTGGGACTCCTTTGGAACGCATGAAAGGTCTCCTACTGGAAAGAAGTTCTATGATTGTGAGGAATGTGGAAAAACCTTCAATTCTCCCACACGCTTTCAAAGACATATGGTAACGCACAGTGGAGGTGGACCTCATAAATGTATGCTTTGTGGAAAAGCATTTGCTTATCTCAGTTTGTATCGTAAACATGAAAGAATTCACACTGGAGAGAAACCATATAAATGTAAAGAATGTGGTAAAGCTTTTCGTAGGTCTAGTTCTGTTCGAGTACATGAAATAACTCACACAGGAGAGAAGCCATATGAATGTAAGGAGTGTGGGAAAGGATTCATTTATTTCAGTTCCTTTCAAGTACATGAAAGGACGCACACTGGAGAAAAACCTTACGAATGTGAGCAATGTGGGAAAACATTTGCTCAGCGGAAGAGCATTCGATGGCACATGAGAATGCACACTGGAGACAGACCTCACAAATGTACGATATGTGGGAAAGCCTTTTATTCTCCTGGTTCACTTCAAAGGCATGAAAGAAGTCACACTGGAGAGAAACCCCATGAATGTAAGCAATGCGGTAAAACTTTCAGTTCTTCCACTTCTTTGCGATATCATGGAAGGATTCACACTGGAGAGAAACCCTATGAATGTAAGCACTGTGGTAAAGCCTTCAGGTGTATCAAGACCATTCGAATACATGAAAGGATTCGCACTGGAGAGAAGCCTTATGAATGTACACAGTGTGGGAAGTTATTCCATTGTATCTGTTCCTTTCGTAGACATGGAAGGATTCACACTGGAGAGAAACCCTATGAATGTAAGCAATGTGGGAAAGCCTTCATTCGTTCCAGTACCTGTCGAAAACATGAAAGAGCTCATGCTATTAATACATGAGAGAAATCCTATTAATGTAAAGAATTGGGAAAGCATTCAGTTGTCCCAGTTTTCTTCAAACATAGTGCAGAAAGGCCCCATGAGATAACTGACTTATGAGTAGAGAAGAGCGACCTCTGATACTATAGTAAAACCTACAATTGGAGTTGGATGATTCCATGACACAGTCCATAAATAGACTTTCTTACATGAGATTTCAGAGGCAGACATGAGGAAGGTATTAGTTACATTTTAGAGGCACCATACAGGGAGATAGTCAATTCATATGGGCCATGTGAACACCTCTTACCAGCTCTTTTCCTTGATTACTTGGCTTGCTTGCTAATCAAAGGTATTCTCAAAATCACTTGCCTTTCATTTTCTCAGTGGTGTAGGTTTCCAAAGATGCCCCATAGGCTGCACATTTAAGATCCATCCACCATTACATTTTCCTTAAGGATGCTCAACTCACCTAGTCTATATATTGTATTGGCATAAAGTGTGATTTCTATTGCAAGCACTTTTGTTTGTACAGGTAGTGACACTTGCTGATTCAGCATGACAGCTATAGCGCTGCCATCAAAACCAGCTAAATGGGAACTTCTCTTCCTCCGCTGCATTGTGCAGTGACTGCCTTACCCAGAACTTTCCTTCCTCTTATCTGGAAATTTCAAGTGTTTCCTTTTACTTTTTTTTTTTTGAGACAGAGTCTCACTTTGTTGCTCAGGCTAGAGTGAGTCCCGTGGCGTCAGCCTAGCTCACAGCAACCTCAAACTCCTGGGCTCGAGCGATCCTTCTGTCTCAGCCTTCCGAGTAGCTGGGACTACAGGCATGCGCCACCATGCCCGGCTAATTTTTTTTATATATATCAGTTTGGCCAAATGTTTCTTTCTATAGTAGTAGAGACGAGGTCTCACTCTTGCTCAGGCTGGTTTTGAACTCCTGACCTTGAGCAATCCGCCCGCCTCGGCCTCCCAGAGAGCTAGGATTACAGGCGTGAGCCACCGCGCCCGGCCTCCTTTTACTTTTAGCAGAATGCAATGCCTTAGTTTATTTCAAAGTATGTTTCATTTTCTGTGAGTAAAAACAATGTGTATTTTTTTGGCCACTAAGATTTCTGTACATGTCTTTAAAATAGTTTCTTAACTGTTTTTTTTTTTTTTGAGACAGAGTCTCGGTTTGTTGTCCAGGCTAGAGTGAGTGCCGTGGCGTCAGCCTAGCTCACAGCAACCTCACACTCCTGGGCTCGAGCGATCCTTCTGCCTCAGCCCCCGAGTAGCTGGGACTACAGGCATGGGCACTACCATGCCCGCTAATTTTTATATACATATCAGTTGGCCAATTAATTTTTTTCTATTTATAGTAGAGACGAGGTCTCACTCTTGCTCAGGCTGGTTTTGAACTCCTGACCTTGAGCAATCCGCCCGCCTCGGCCTCCCAGAGAGCTAAGATTACAGGCGTGAGCCACCGCGCCCGGCCAGAATTTTTATCTTGATCCTAATTTTTTCTTGATCTGGAGTCTCACTCCATGGCCTGGGCTAGAGTGCCGTGGCATCAGCCTATCTCACAGCAAACCCAAACTCCTGGGCTCAAGCGATCCTCCTGCCTCAGCCTCCTGAGTAGCTGGGACTACAGGCATGCACTACCATGCCGCGCTAATTTTTCTATATATTTTTAGTTGTCTGGCTAATTTCTTTCTATTTTTAGTAGAGATAGGGTCTCACTCTTGCTCAGGCCGGTCTTGAACTCCTGACCTTGAGTGATCCTCCTGCCTCAGCCTCCAGTGCTAGGATTACAGGCGTGAGCCACCTTGCCCGGCCAACACGTTCTTCTCTACTGGATCATTCAATGGCCACCAAATATACTCTAAGAGCTTCCAAATCTGAAATAAAAATGAAAGAACAACTCTTTTGAATCTCACAATCTCTTACTCAACACCCATTTTGTATTGCCTTTCCCAGCAAAAATTCTTCAAGAATTGTCTGTTTATACCCAACAGGCAGCATTCCACACTGACTATTTATTGAAATTGTTCCTTGTCAAAGTCACTGGCTCATCTTAATCTTTCAGAGCATTGATACAGTTGAGAGTACTAGCTTTGGGAGGCTACCACTGTCGTTCAGGAACAGTTACACTGAAACATTACTTCACAAGGAAAAAAGACTTGCAGATTTCCCCCTCCTTCATGCCTCATCTATTCACTAAACTGCTGTCATCATTCACTTTACTAGACCAACTAGTTGAAGTAAATGTCCTTTCAAACATTGATATACACAGATTCCTTTGAATCCAGCTTTTCTTTGCTTCTTTATTCAAGTCAGGATGCTGCTTTTTTTTTTTTTTTTTTTGTTTTGAGACAGAGTCTGACTTTGTTGACCACAAAGCCCGTGCGTCAGCTAGCTCACAGCCAATCTCAGACCCCCTGGGCTCAAGCGATCCTGCTGTCTCAGCCTCCCGCATGTAGCTGGACACAGGCCAGCTGCCACCATAGCCCGGCAATTTGTTTGCTATCAACATTATTGCCAATTAGTTGTCTTCTATTTATAGTAGGAACGGGTCACCCCCGCTCTTGCTCAGCGGCTTTTGAACTCCCCGCCCTCGAGCAATCCCGCCCGCCTCGGCACGCGCCCTTTAAAAAAAATCCATTAAGAAAGCCAATTGTGTTCCAATATCACTGACAGAGAATAAAACTACAATTTGTAAAACTTTTTCCTCCCATCCAATTCACTTATTTTATCCGTCATTTAACTTCTATTATTTTTTTTTAGACAGAGTCCGCTTTCCATGCCTAGGCCTAGAGCGTGAGGCCGTGGCCATCAGCCTAGCCACACAACCTCACAACTCCTGGCTCAAGCGATCCTCTGCCTCAGCCTCCGAGGTACCGGAAACTACAGGCACAAGCCACCATGCCCCGCTGATTTTTATATATATTAACCGTTCGGCCAATTGAATTTCTATTTATGGCTAAGGAGACGCGGCGGCCCTCGCTCAGCGCTGGTTGTTTGAACCTCCCTGACCTTCCGCGAGCCAATCCGCCGGCTCGCTCGGCATCCCAGAGTGCTAGGATAACAGGCCGTGACGCCCACGCACGCCCGGCCTCAATTCATTTATTAATTCAAAAAAAAAAAATTGAGAAATACCAACAACATACAAAAACACATATATTCCCTGCTTCAAAAAACAGGCAAGTATACACATGATACACTGTGAAGTCTAAGAGGTGATCTATGCACAGTTAGATGTGTGAGCACAAAAAAGGCTTCATAGAAGACCAAGAATATGAGAGCAGCTCACCAGGCTAAGAGTGGGGGAAAACCATTCTACTTAGAGAATAGAATGTGAGCCCCTAGGTGAGGCACATGGTATCTAGGTGCTTTTTAGGAACTTGGAAGGAAAAGTGTAAAATTGCATTCTATACCAGATAAAGCATTGCTTAGAGGACACTTAAGAGGCTTATGTGACTATGTTAGAATGGAACAAAGACTGAAAATCAAACATCTCAAATTCATTCTCAAAAATAAAAAAGAACAAACTGAAAGAATACTAGCAGCAGGTAAGTCATTTTGAATTCCAGTATCAAAAGACAAAGGTATTTTTAAAAACTCCCATAATTACAAAAGTATCTTGATATACAAGATGAAATATGGAAGTTTTGAAATAAAGCATGATGAAAGGGGTTAAATTTATAGTTTTTGTATGAGTTTAAACTTGCAAGGTCACCTTAAGATCAACTGTTACAATACATTTTATGTAAGCCTCATGATAGTCACCAAAATATAATCTATGGAAGAGACACAAAAAAGGCAAAAGAATCAGAGTATGATTATAACAAAATCAATGAATTACAAGATAGAGCAAGAAAGGGAAAGGGACAAAAGAACTAGAGGACAAATGTAAAACAATGAATAAATTGGCAATAATAAATCTTTCTCTATCAAAAATCTAAATGGAGTCATCCCCAGCCACAAAACTCATAGGGTAGTTTAGTGAAGAAAAAAATTACAGGATCCTACTGTATGTGGTCTACAGGAGACTCACTTTAGATTTATGGGTTAGGGTTTGGGTTACACTGACATTGAAGAGCTGTAAAAAGGGATTCAAAAGAAAGGAATGATTATGCTAGTATCAGATAAAATAAACTTTTAGGTCAAATAATGCCACAAGGGAAAGGAAGGACAATATATAGTGAGAAAAGGGTCCAATTGCCACAAAGTTAAAAGAATTAAAAATATATATGCACTAAACATCAGAAAAATAAATATTAATAAAGCAACCACTGAAAGAATCAAAGGGAGATAGAGATAGCAATACAAGGACAGTAGGAGATATACATGCTTCACTTGCAATAACAGATGAAAGGTCCAGACAGAAAATCTACAAAGAAATATGAGACTTAACCAACACTACAGGCCAAAGAGTCCTAACCAACACACCCAAAGCACTTCACCCAACACAGCAGAATACACACTCTTTTCAAGTACACACAACATTCTCCATTGCAGACCACACTGTAAGTGAAAAACAAGACTTCACAAATTTAACAATCTTGAAATCAAGCCAAGTATCCTTTTTGACCACAGTGAAATAAAACTAGACATCATATCAGAAGGGAAGTTGGAAAATTCATAAATATGTGGAAATTAAACATACTCTCAAACCAATGGGTCAAAGAAGTAATCAAAAGAAAAATTGGAAAATATCTTGACCCAAACGAACATAAAAACACAATGTATCAGGAAAGGGCATGGGGGCTCACGCCTGTAATCCCAGCACTTTGGGAGGCCGAGGCAAGAAAGTGGCTTGAGGCCAGGAGTTCAAGACCAGCGTGAGAAGCATAGCAAGACCCCATCCATACAAATAATTAAAAAACATTAGCCGGGTGTGAAGGCACGCACCTGTTGCCCCAGCTACTCAGCGGGCTGAGGCAGGAGGATTGCTTGAGCCCAGGAGGAAATTTTAACTAAAAATTGGGCAAAAGTGCTAAAAAGTTTAGCCCTTTGGAGAGCAGGAGATTTCACAGAGAAGGAGAAATAAAGACTGGATACACTTGACTTCTAAAATGGTCTCTTGGGAACGCAGACTGAGCAGGGAAAGTTTTCTTTCTGCCCAACCCAGTGTCCCACAGGAAAACCAGGTGCTCAGGGGCTAGAGTGACAAGAGGGATATGTACCTAATGAGCCGAAAGAGCTCAAAATAGACCCTATGCTCTCGTGCCTTAGAGTGTACAACCTTGGGCTGGACGGGATGTGCTTTTCATTTTGGAGTCCTACATCTGGCTTAAAGACCAATGCTTCAGTCCTTTCTACTGTCTTGTTTGGGGACAGAGCTTCAGTGTCCATCATTGACCATCCAGGGTAGAACTCAGAAATCCACACAGAGATCTTCTTCTCAGGGACCTGATACAGGTGAGCTGATAGCCCACTAGTCCCTGCAGGAAAGGTTCAGAGAAAATGAAAACCAAGAACATTTTTCCAAGATCACCTGACAGCCAAACCAATCTAACCCAGACCTGACGGATTGATGTGTTTGTTTCCCTAGTCTACTGATTACTTTGTCATTAATTTATTTAAGATGTTAAAAGGAGAAGTTTCTTTTAGAATGCAATGCAGGGATCATACTTGTCAAATAAGTGATGAGTATGGAAGTCCATTTGGATGAGGCTGAAGGAGGAGTTACAAAGTATTTTCCCTGTAATTAGAACATAGCTGAGGAGTTTTGCAGTAAGTAGGTAGGAAAATTGAA